GCCACACTAGAGTATAAGCTACATGAGGACATGGACTTCATCTGCTTTGTTCACTGTTGTACCTCCAGCACCTAGTACATCTGTTATATGATTTGCACTCAATAAATATTTGTTGAGTGCATGCACGAATTACTGGAAAGTGATCCATTCTATACAGTAAATATTTATTCATCTTTCCAAGTTCTGTTGCTTTTATGTTATGTAAAGGCTTTACACCTCTACATAGCATGAATGATCTCAGTCCCCAGATGAGTGAACTAAGATATTCATGAGCATGATCACAAGCAAAAACCAATTTACTTTTGAGGAGAGGCGTGATATGGTCCTATCATCTCCAAAAAAACAATGTTTCAGAGTTACGAGAGACAAGAGACAAGGAGAGTTAATGCAAACTCTGTGGAAACCTTAAACTCTTCTGCACATCTAGTGAATTACTCCCAAGTGGTTGATGGGATAAATAATGATTCTGAGGATCCAGCAGGGGAGAAATGATGCATACCTGGATGCCAGTCAATACACCTTCCCTGGCTGGAGCCCCACTTCTCTCTTGTGCCCTGGACACTAAACAGAGAGCCTAGCAATAGAGGCAGGACCAGTGCTCACTGGTGTTATCCTGGTGCTGACACCTGGTTTGTCTTTGAGAACTGGAAGTTCAATTAACCTCTCCACAGGCTCCCCCCACCCAAGTTTAGATACCCCAGGCTTTGTCTGCAAAACCCATGTCTGAGATATTCCATAAAAAGAAAGAAGGCTAATCTTTGAGTCATTAGACTTAATAAAAACAAATCACTCTCCAAAAATCTTAGGAGAGCACTGAACATGCCTAACTCATCTGCCATTTTATTCTTTCTTCCTCCAGCTGAGACAAGGACTGAAATTCCCACTGCCCACACACACTATACATGTCTCTTTCAGTCTGAAAGGCAAAAGGGCATCCTGCCTCTGTCAGCAGTGTTCACTCAGCACCAGAAGTTGAGCCCTCACATTCAAGTAAACTGTCACATCCTTGGAGGTTGAAAATGACCCTGAAAAGAAAAATACACACAGCAAAAAGATTCAGCCTTGCTCCTTGGAGATCCAACTGAAACTCCTGGGTCCTCATCAGCAGATTTCTAAAGAGGCATCTGCCTTTTTTTTAACACACACACACACACACACACACACACACACACACACACACACACACCTTCTTACCCAAATGCTTCTAAAAGTAGCTAATGCTCTGGGAATTTCCTCAAATTGGAGACACAAGCTACCTCCTCGAGGTACCCCCTCAGACCACCTCTTACTTCAATAAGTGGGATAGGCAATATGGGGGAGTTGAGTTCAGGAAGGTAAGCCAAATGATTGTCCAACTTTGCCCCCAAAATTAAACCCTAGAAGTCACTGAATTCACCAAATAATACCCACCCCAACACAGACATACTGCTCCTCAGACTGAGGTTTCAGGAAGCTTGCCTGTCAGGAAGGTACAATTGCAATTTGCCTTACATAGAGCTGAAATGTGACAGACGCTTTCCTAAAATTAAACATTTATGAAAATATGTTTAATCCATTTTTAGCAGCTCAATAATGTTTTCATGATGAAATAGTACCTTTCACACTGGAAAACACTTTGCTTGTAGCTTCTACACAACCTCAGCACTGCAATACAGCCAGCCTTTGGGCCAATGTGACAGCCAATTGCAAAACAGGAAAGGGGTACAATACATTTTGGAACATGGAGATTCATATATACCATCCTTTGATAATAAAAAGATAAAAGGGTATGGGGAAAAGCTGGACACAACTTTGTACTTTTCTTAGACCACAATGCTGAGGTCTAAGAAATGTTATCGCTTTCTGTTGGTACAGGGAACTCTTGAATGGGCATTTTCCCTGATGCTTGTCAACTCCTAGGAGTAGCCTACACAGTTCCTTGCCTCCTTTTTCTCCCCTTTTCTCCCAAAGAGTCTGCTTCCAGCATCCTAGGAAAGCTGTATCCCTTCTTCAAGCCAGACGGACATTTTGTCATTGCTACAGCCTCTCATAAGAAGGGATCTTTCCTTCCAGCAAGCCTACCATGTTCTGCTCTCAGCACTCAGGGATCCCACAGGCACACAGGAGGTGACATCAAGACAATGGACCTGTATTTCATTAGCCAAGAATTCCAGATGATGAGTGTGATGTCATGGGCCTAAGGGACAAAGGAAGGAAAACAGCTTCCTCCTTTCTCCTTATTACTATTACTTCATGCTGAACCTCTCCCTACATGTGAAACTTCTCATTCTTGTTTGACAGAGAAAGATGCAGAGGCACTGTGCTTGGGGAAGCATCTCTGGGTGCCCAGGATGCATCTTTTAATAAATGTTCACTATTTGCCAATAATGTGCCATGCTCTGAACTGGGCCCCAGGGCATTTGGTGGATAATGCATCTCTGCCCTCAGGAAGTTCATGGTATAGCCTTATGGTAAAGCGAGGGAGAGGTGCAAGTAAGCTGACGACTGTAATGGAGTGTGAGGGATGCTAGGAAGGGAGAAGGCAAGGATCCTGTGGGAACACCTTGGAAGGTCTCCTAGCCCAGACCTGGAGAGGGGTTCAGTTCAAGAAGTCTTCCTAGAGAAAGTGACAGTAAAATTTAGTCTAGAATAATGAATAAGAGTGGAAGAAAGAGTACTTTGGTAAAGGGGAACAACATGTGAAAGTACGTGAAAGCTGGAGAGACAGGCAAGTCTAGATGTATTAGTGGGACAAGCAAAGTGGCCAAATCATGCACCACCTTGAACTTCAGCCTGAGAGCGATTGGGAATAGTTGAGGCAGCAGAAGGGACATGATTAGGTTTGTTGAAGGGAGGGAGTTAAACAGGGACAAATGCCTCCCAACCTCCCTCCCAACCAGCCTACTTCCCCCACCTGCCACCGCCTGCCCTTAGCTCCCTAGCCTGGAGTCCTGTAGGTTCTGGGAGGTTCTGTAAAGTTTGGTTCTTGCCTTTGGAGTGAGGATTATGATGCTAACAGAAAGCAAGGAGGGAGGGAGAGCAGGTGAAAAGGCTACTGAAAATGTTTTTAGGAAAATTAGTACTGTACTTGGTACTTTGTACTTATTCCCCCTATAAGTGTTATTTGAGGTACCAGTACCAAATCCTCCCATTACCAATTCCAAAAGCCCAACTGCCCCATCAACATTTCACTGTGTATTCTTTACAATTGTCTTCTTTCCTTTTCATATATGATTTTAAAATTCCTCCTCTTTAATAATAACACAGCCACAACTCCCACCCATCATTGTCTTGTTGTCATTAATCTTTTTAAGTACCCAATGGATCCGTAGAAGAGTTTAGAATCCCTACAAACCCCTTTCTGGCGAGGCTAGGGGTGGGCGCTACAGTTAGCTCTGAGATTGACCCCTGTGAAGTGTCACCAAGATTTCCCTCCAGCACACACAGCAGAGGGGGGGATGTGAGTTTCCAATGAAGAAGAAATGAAAATCCTTGGCTTTTCACTGTTGTAATTTAGGAGGAGAACATGAGAGAATGGAGATGATGGGGAGATTGAGAGAGAAAATAGGGGTGGAGAGAAAGTGAGAGGAAAATAGGAGGGGGAGATAGACACAAGTGAGACAGAGAAGAAAAGGGGAGGGAAATGGAGATGGGGAGAGGATAAAGGAAAGCTTCAGAGAGAGAAGAAGGAAGAGAATCAAGAAAAAAAGAGAGGGAGGGCAAGGTACTTGGGTAAGTCCCAGAGCAGTTTAAATGATGCATGAGGGAATTTGGAAAAGGGTCCAGCAGAGACATGGAGCTGCTGAAGCACCTGGGTGCTATAAGCAAATGGAGAGAATCAAGGGAGGAGAAGACCCACCCTCCTTGCCTCTCTCCTCTGTCCAGGGCTGCCAGCTACTAGGTCATTACTCTTGGCCCCCTTGACTCCTCTGAAGTCTGCAAAGCCTGCTGTGTGTCAGTCCTGCACCGGCCCTGCCAGGGACACCTACCTATCCCTTCCCACAGTAGAGCCAGGCTAGAGAAAGGGTATCGGGGGAAGGGGGATTTTGAGAGCTACCAAGGGCCCACCAAGCTCACCAGAGATGACCAGAAGATGGAAAGCGGGGAAAAGGATGCGCATCTGCAAGGATGAAGGAGATGAGGCAGCCAGACAGACAAATGGACAGACTGACAGGCAAGCAGGCCACATATGAGGAGGACTCTTAGGTTCTATATCCTCCATCCCTTGTGCCTCCACCCAGAGGACTGAGGAAAAACCTCCCCTGCCTCCTCCTTGCCTCCTTTCAGACCTGAAGCTGCCAGCTTGAGAATACTCACTGACTCCTCCACCTAAACCCTCTCAGGTCTGTTTCCCCTTTATAAAGATCATTAAGACTACTGTCGGCCCCGGCGTAGCTCCAGGGTAAAAAGGAAGCTGCTGAGGAGCAGAAAGCAGGGCAGCCTTCATACACTCCCCCAGTTGGAGAGTTAGAAGCTGGACAGAACACCTCCGGCCCTCTCCAAGCAGCATCAGCAGCCCCAGCCCCTCCCCGGCACACTGATGAGCTCTGAAACCCACTCCAGCTGCCAACGACTGTGCCTTTAAATTGCTGCTTTCGGAGGTGCATCTGGGGGGAGGGGGGAGGGAGGGAAACGTCTTTCTCCCGGTTTCCCTCCTCCCTCCCCTCCAAGACTCTCCAGGGTTTGGAGACTGGTTGCTGCCCAAAGAGAATCTCTCCCAGCTCCCGACACCGGCTTCCCTCCCGGAGTCCAGGCAAACCAGAGCAGGAGCCAGTAGGGTTATCTGTGTCAGGATCATTTTCAAGGGAAGAGTTCTGGCCCCTGACTGGTAACAGCAGGGCAGAGGAAAAGAGAGCAGAGGAGAGGGAGAGAGAGAGAAAGAACAACTCCTAGCCTGGCCCTATAGGCTCCTTGTGAGCTAGCCAAGTTGGAGAAAGACTCTGTACTTTTGGCAGTCCCCACAGGATATCCCCTCTCACCTTGGCAACCAGGCTGAGAAAGGGCTCCAGGGTCCCTGCGGAATGACAACTCGAGTTCCTGCAACCCTCTCCTTCCTTTTCCTCTGGACCCTGCCGGGGCAGGTCCTCCTCAGGTGAGCTGAGTCGAGCTGAGTCGGGGTGAGAAGGAGGTGCATGCAAACTCTGGCTGGGGGCAGCTGGGGCATCTGGCAGTTTCTTCTAATTTTGCAAAAAACCCACATTCCGGAGGGCTCCAAGGGAAGACACACCCTCCCCCAATCAAGACCCAGGAGCCTTTTATGAAGTGGGTCAAGGCCCTGGAGCTGGTAAGAAGCCTTCTGCATGGGTGGGAGCTTTCTGGGCCTGGGGAGGGGCTAGGTAACTAAGGCCCAGAACAGAGGCCATTTGTCCTGCCATCCAATTCTATCCCCCTACCAATTTGGCCACACACTGCTCAGATCCCTAAAAGTGACACCAACATCTGCCTACCCAAGAGGCTTTGAGTAGCAGGAGTTTGCCCTAAACCCCTATCAGAATGAATCTGACCAAAGCTTGGCTTTCTGCAGTCACCCTGCCTGTCTGCACATGGCTGCTCACTGTCTCTGGGTGGGCACTAAGTGGCAGTCATTTCCTGGCCTTGGGGGCAAGACATGTTTTGGGATCCCTATACATGTTTCCCAACCCATTCCCACTTTCTCATTAGACCAGGAGACCGTCTAGGTGGACAGGGTGTGCTGAGAAAGAAAGATGGCTGTGGCGTGGGCCGAACTAACTGGCCATAAGAACAATGCCTCCCAAAGTGGAGGGGGGTAAGAGCCACCTCAGTACCAACTGCCTTCTCTTAATTCAAGGAGCACACCAAAACTGCTTGCCCCTCAGGAGCCTCCTGCCTTACTGCTTGCAGATACACTGGCTGGCTGGCAGACAGGGATGCAATATGTGGGGGGTGGTAAACTTCTGAAGAGTGAAAAGCAGCCCAAAGTGGAATGGCATCTCAGTTGGAGTTGATAGGAGGATGCAAGCAGCAGTGGGCACCCAGCTGGACCTTGCTGGACCTCCTGGAGGGGAGGCTACCTTAAGGCCCAACCTTCAGTTGCAGCATTCCCACTTGAGCAATTAAAGCAAGGCAGGCCCTGAGGAAGTCTTGAGTCCAAGTCCTTTATTGTACATATGGAAACTAAGGCCTAGAGAGGGGATGTGACCTGTCCAAGGTTACTCAGATACCCAGGAGCAGATCAGAGCTCTCTTCCTATTCCACTGCAGGGCCTTGCATGAGCAAGATTTTCAGCTCTGCAACCTTCCCCGTCTGTCAGCATTTGGGACTTTCCAGGAATGAAAGGGAGGAAGGAGTGGCTACACACAGTGACTCTGCTCTCAGGTCCACAGGGAAGGTAACCCCAGAATAAAGGGGCTAAAAGAGGGATTGGAGCCCAAGACAGCTAAGGCCACAGCTTGTGCCAGGGTCCTGGGGCTGGGGCTAGCAGGAGGGGTGAAAGTGGGGCAAGGGTCTGGCTGCTCGTGTGCAGGGCCCTGTAGCTTGCCAGCAGGCAGGTGACCGGTGGCCAAAAGAAGCACCTGGCTGGTGTGGACACCCTTTAGCTAAGCCATGGACTTCTGCTTGCTCCGGCATCACCACCAGCCTTCTCAGATTTTCGGTCTCCTTAGGCCACCTGCTCTAGAAGCCCCTACTTGGGACTAAGGTGACTTCTGTGCCAGAGTAAGGGCTTTCTCCCACTCAGGGGATTCAAGGATGCAGGACAGAGGTCAGGGTATAGCTGCCACTGATCTTCCCCCACTCTGGTTCCTTGGCAGCCCATTCTGGCCTGCTTGCATCATAGTATTGTGGTAGATAGACTTAGTTTTGAAGTCAATAGCTCTGGGTTTGAATTTTTACTTTAACATTTACTAGCTCTCTGATAGTGAACAAGTGGCTTCACCTGGCTGATCCTCACTCTCATCATCTATATAATGGGGATAGTAATAGTACTTATTGAGAGGATTGATGTGAGAACTAAACTAGATAAGGTGAATAAAGCATTTAGCATGGTGCCTTAGCTATTTTTATTACTGTGTCCATCACTGGCGGGTGTATAGATTTACTGGGAAAGAAGAGCCCTCTGGCTCAAAGGAGACTCGGACCCAGAAGAACAGCAGTCACCCTGACTCCAAGCTCCACAGTTCAGCAGTAGGTGAGCTAGCTCTAGACCTGGAGCAGTGGTGATGGCAGGAGGAGCAGGAGGCAAAGGGCCCAGCCAGGAGTATAGCCTGAGCTCAGGCCTTGAGCCCCACCCCTGCCCTCAAGGCTTTGCTGAGTTCCTGGCCCCTCCTCTAGCTGTTGGCTGGTAAGCAGACAAGGAAGGAGCTTTGTGCTCTTAGAGGGAAACTTGTCAAGGGAAAAAAGGACCTCTAGCGTAGGCCAAAGCACACTGGCTCCTTCCTCAAAATCAAGCTGTTAGGAGGAAAAGATGGGAGTTGACTTTCTCAGCATAACCACCCTACTGGGAGGCTTTCCCATGTTCCTAGAGCCCTGCTTCTCCACCTATTTTGTTGCCAAAGCATGTTTACCTGCCTGCAGTTGCCACAACCCTGAACTGAGGTCCAGCTCAAAAGAGCTTCCTGCTAGAGCAAATGACAGAAGCCAAGTCTCCCTCTCCAGAAGCTATGTCTTAGCACCTGTGTGGCTCAGCATGAAAGCCAAACAACTGAAGCCAACTCTCAGGGAAGCAGCTATTCTTAAGCCCTTCCAATCCTTGGCTAGGCCAGAGAGGCAAAATGTTGTCATGGCCACATTATTTCCAGTGAGTGGTCACTCTTCTTTGAATGCACTCAAGGCGCCTTCAGAAAAAAGCACTGGATGAGCCTTAGGTTTGAGTCCTGATCCTGTCACTCACCAGCTCTGAGATTTGGGGCAAGTCAGTCCTCTTTCAGTTTGTTTGTTTGCTTTATATTCTACATATAAGTGAGATTATATAGTATTTGCTTTCTCTGACATTTCACTCAGCATAATACCCTCTAGGTCCATCCATATTGTCTCAAATGGCAAGATTTCTTTTTTATTGCTGTGTGATATTCCAGTGTATGTACCACATCTTTATCCATTCATCTATCGATGTTCACCTAGGTTGCTTCCATATCTTAACTATTGTAAATAATGCTGCAATAAACATAAGGGTGAATATATCTTTTCAAATTAGTGTTTGTTTTCTTTTGATAGATACTCAGAAGTGGAATTGAAGGATCATGTGGTAGTTCTATTTTTAATTTTTTGAGGAAGCTCCATACTATTTTCAGTAGTGTCTGCACCAATTTACAACCCCACAAGTCCCTCCTACTTTGGAAGCCTTAGTTTTCTCGTCTATAAAATGGAAATAATAGTCCTCACCCCCATCACACTGAGAATAATGAGGGTAAAAATATCTAATATATGTGAAAGCCATTTTCTAGGACTAACTGGTGAGCTGCCATATTGTTTTGTGGCTGTTTTGTTCTCATTTTGCAAATGGGCACCCAGAGACCCTCCTCTCCCATCCTCCTTTCTGGTAGGGAGACCAGCCAGAGGTGGTTAGGAACAGGGAAAGAGAGGGTCTGTGATAAAGGCAGAATACAACTGGCCTCAGACATTTTATCTCTCCCATCCAGGGCGGCCTTGGCAAAAGAGGAAATCAAACCTGGGACCAAGGGATCCCAGCCCATGTCCCCTTCTGATTTCCTTGACAAACTTATGGGGCGGACATCTGGATATGATGCCAGGATTCGGCCCAATTTTAAAGGTAAGAATAATTCATCCTATAACCCCCCCCCTTCTCACCTTTTTGGAGACACACTGTCAAGCCAGTCCCTCTTGCATGCTCTAAAGACAGGAAGTTGGAGGTACAAGGCTAGCTCTTACAGCTCAGAAGGAGCTTCTCCTTCCCGTTGCCCATGGGCCTGTGTAGCTGGCACTGCCTTCTTTCAGCAGTGCTCTGACCTCAAGCTCAGGGAGGGAGTCCTGAAACCTGTTTCTGGCCACCTGGAATGCCCTTCCAATGTACTGTGCTTTGCTACCCTTAGGCCCACCCGTGAACGTGACCTGCAACATCTTCATCAACAGTTTCAGCTCTGTCACTGAGACTACCATGGTAAGGCCTCTCTGTTCCCCACTTCCACTCTAGTGTGAATGAGTGAAGCCCTCTAGATAACAAACCTTTTCCCCCTCTGCAGTCCTCTTCTGGTTTCATAGTCATGGCTAAAGCCATGGTATGTATGAAGTTGGTCACTGGGAGGAACACTTTCCCCAGCCTGTGGTTTCAGTGATAAAGGCAGACTGGTCTAACCAACAGATGGTCCAGCCTGGAGGTAGCTTGCTGCAGAGCACAGGCTTTGGAATCAGAAAACCTATGCTCAAATCCTGACTACCTCAAATAGCTGTGTGACTTTAGGCAGGTTATTTAAGTCTCTTTGTCTCAGTTTCCTCATCTGTAAAATGGAAGTCATTGTAGCATTCTCCTCACAAGGTGGGTATGAGATTTAAATGAGGTGAAGCACATAAAGAAAGCACTTAGCAGACAGCCTGCACATAGTAAGTGCTAATAAATGTCTTTTCCCTTCCATCTTTGCCATATCAGCCCAAGGCAGACTTCTTGTCCAATGGAAAATGCCCATTGCCCCTGAGATGTGATCACAGCATTTCCATCTCATGCCCCTCTCTTGTCCATGTATGGTTTGCTGGGCTCCTGGAATAACGCTGCCTCTGATGGGCCTATCTCTGCACCCTCGCAGGACTATCGGGTGAATGTCTTCTTACGGCAGCAGTGGAATGACCCACGGCTGGCGTACAGAGAATATCCTGACGACTCACTGGACCTTGACCCTTCCATGCTGGACTCTATCTGGAAACCAGACCTGTTCTTTGCCAATGAGAAAGGGGCCAACTTCCATGAGGTGACCACAGACAACAAGTTACTGCGCATCTTCAAGAATGGGAATGTGCTTTACAGCATCAGGTGTGCCTGGTGGGAGAGTTTGGGTCAAAGGGAAAAAGCTAGACAGAATCTGAGGGGTGGAAGGAGGGTCCCCTGTGTTGTGCTTGGCCCCAGTAAACCAACGTCACTTCTTTTTTACTGTCCCTGACAGGCTGACCCTCATTTTGTCCTGCCCAATGGACCTCAAGAACTTCCCCATGGACACCCAGACCTGCACAATGCAGCTGGAAAGCTGTAAGTGTCCCTAGAGAGTCATGGAGCAAGGCCTGGGATCCCAGCTTGTTAACTCCATCTTGTGATATTCCAGACAGGAAAAGAGCATCCTAGAGTGGGGAGGGACATCGCCAAGCACACACAATTCTTGGCACAGATGAAACTGGAAGCCAGGGCTTGCTAATGCCTAACCCAGTGTGTTTTCCCATCCCCACACAATTTGCTGGCCTGGCTGTTCCATGGGGCTAGGGAATGGGAAGGCCCTGCCTTACATATAAATTTGCTTGTGCTGGTTGTGAGGGGTCATTTGAGGAGCACTTCTTCTGCCCAAAAATGTGTTCCCTCTCACAGTGCCTAAAGTAATTCTACTTCAACTCCCCCTGGGTTAAGATATTCAAGATGCCTGTAAAACTGCCGGAGTTGGCAGGGATGGGGCAGTCTTTGAACCTTGATTCCTCATGAACACAGATAACTTTTGTAGAGAGGTGGAAGAGGACAATTCTAGATATAGGACAGTGCCCAAGGCCCCAAAGTCAGCCAAGGGCTACTCTATGACAGAGGTGCCAGCCTGCTAAAAGACAACAAAGTTGAACCATCACCTGTGTCCACTCCTTTGCCATCTCCTGGGCAAAGTGAGACTGTTAGATCAGCAGACATCCACTCAGTCCTCAGAGAAGAAGACTCATTAAGCTATTTCCAGCATGTAATAACTAGTCAACTAGAATGTGCCATATGTGGTCAACTCTTTAGAGTTCATAAACCAATTTCATGAGGTTCCCATTACCCTCTCAGAACTCTAAAAAGTAGGTGGAACATTTTACAGAAGGGGAAGTAACTTGCCCAATGTCACACAGCTACTCTGGGTAAAGGCTCTACTCTACATTTGTGAGACTTAGTGTTTCTGCTCCCATTTCTACCTGACATGTGTAAATATGGTCATAGATGTGGCAGGAGCCTTCACAAACTTCTAACTCTCTGTGAGCAACTTGGCGTGTTTAGATGTTAGCTCTCCATTTTCCTCAGTTCAGGGACCTGGCTATGAGTCTGTGGTGTGCACATTGTCCCACGCATGACTGGCAAGGTATAAACAGCTCTCTCCTCACTGGGGTGAGGTAGCAGAAGCCCTGGCTCTGAGATTGGTTCTGCTCAAGACATGTGGTCAGTACCCATGCTTACTCCCCTGGGTTTGAGATATGGCAGGAGGTTCCCAGCTGGGTTCCTTGACATCTTTCCAACCTTTTGACCTGCTTTCTAGGTCTGCTAGAATAATTTCTCTTTGGGCCTTTCTAATGCCTGAGAACTATGTAAGATAGGAGTCTGGAAGTCTTTCTGATTTGCCCACTTAGAATGGACCTATGAGACAACTGACCAAGTACCACCTTCAGAAAGGTTTCCCTTTCCAAGATGAGCATGGAGTTCCTAAAATCCTCATCTTACTCTTTACTCCTCATCTGTTCTTTCTGGCCAGTTCTAATCCTCACCCTACCCCTACCCAACACCCACAATCTGTGACCCTCTGCCATCTCTGTCACTTTCAGTTGGCTATACCATGAATGACGTCATGTTTGAATGGCTAGAAGATGCTCCTGCTGTCCAAGTGGCTGAGGGGCTGACTCTGCCCCAGTTTATCTTGCGAGATGAAAAGGATCTAAGCTATTGTACCAAGTACTACAACACAGGTAAAAACCCAGGGTCTTTACTGGCTATGAGTCAGATAAGAGCCTCCAGATGGGAGGGAAGGGGGGCAAGGCAGCCAGCCTCTATGGAAGGTTTAGTCTGTGCCAGATATGGTGTTAAGTGCTTTATATTCCTCATCTCATCATGGTAAAGGTTATCAACCCCATTTTTCAGAAAGGGCAAACTGCGGTTCTAAGAAGTTAAATCAACTGTCCAAGTCACACAGATGGTAAATTACTGATTTAGAATTCAAATTCAAATTGGTCTCGTTCCAAATCCCACATTCTTGTCCCTGTCACATGCTGCAGAGCAAATGGGCCTGTCCCACTGAGTGGAAGGAGTGTTCCACCTGTCTTGGGGCCAACTTCATGGGGATGGTGGGGAAGATACATCTGGGAGTAGTCAATGACTGAGCCGAACCAGGAGGGAATAGGCCTCAGGACACTCACCAGCTTCTTGTCCACATCTCCTACTACTGCCACCACTGCCCAGCTCTCTTGAACTGGCTTGTCTTCCTAGGTGTGAAATATGGGCCAGGAAGTAGAAAGGGGCTGCCAGAGCATCTGCCCACTGCTGCTTCCTCAATTCCCCTGGCAATTTGGCTGCTAAGAGTTATAACCCTGAGATAGAGGCCACAGGATGAAGAGGAAAGATCCTTTAGGTACCTCCTATGGTGTGCCACCCTATGAATATGTGTGTTTGTGTATGTAGAGTGTTGGGAAGTGAAGAGAAGAATGGGCCATTGAAATTTTTTTTTTATATACCCTTGTTTATTTACATAATACATTCTGAATACAATAGATATATATTTTATTTTTCTTTTCTTTCATTACCTCTTTGATTCAGACCACAGTAATGTAGATTACAGCTATTATCCCTTAACTAACCATAAACATTTCTCCATACAACACATTGCAGTTCCTAAAGTTGTTTTTGCGTAACACAAAATTGAATACAAAATTTTAAAAATACAGCAATTAAAACTCAATTCCTAAAAATATTTAAAAACAAAAATTACACACACATAAAATCTAAAACACCTTTATATTTTCCACATTGCCCAAAACATAAAGTCCGCACTACTGAGTATGATATAAAAAAGCCATTGCAATCTAACCACAAGTTATCAAACTTGATTTTCCATTAGTCTCTTAATTGTCCATATCCCAGCTATATGAAACATATTCATTTTCTAAATGAATGTTGCTATAAAATGATTTTTGAGAGCCTCAATGAAAAAAAGTGTATTCCCAATATTTCCTACATGCTATTTTCTCTGCTTAGTCCATTGAAAATTTTAAAAACAGTGGGAATGGAAATTGGTATAGTTTTTATTGGGGGAGGAAAACCTTGCAATTTGTATGTAGTCCCATGGGGAGCTTATTCAAATGTTGATTCTTGGCCTCTACCCCTCAGAGATTCTGATCTGCATTTGAACAATCATCCTGAGCATTCTGGTGCAGCTGGTCCAGGGGACACGTTTTGAAAAACTTTAATCTAGAAGCTAAAAATTTTTTCCTCCCTGTTGATCCAGGAATTTATTATAAGGAAATATTCTAAAATATCATGTTGACTTTAAACCCCAAGAAGGCTCCTGGGTCACTGTTTATACTAGCAGAAACTTGAAATTGTCATAAATATCCACCAATAGGACAGAAGTTAGGTAAATTACCTAGTGCCTCTGTTTGGTGGGATATTATCCAGATGTTTAATAGGATGCTTGCAAGTTGCTTATATCAACATGGGAAAGTACAATTAGAAAAGGCTTAGATTCAAAGTTGTATACACAGAATAATTATATTGTGGTAAAATAAACAAATCAAAAGCACGTGGTTAAAAATCTTGGAAGGAAATAGCACAAAATATTTTTAAAGTAGTGTGATACATTTAGGTAAGAGCTAGAACTTTGGAGTCAGAGCAGAGCTTGAATTCCGACTCTACCATTTACCAACTAGGTGCCCTTTAGAAACATAACTCGATCTCTTCAAGCCTTAGTATCTCTATCTGTAAAATGGAAAATAATAGGTTTTTCCTGCCCTAAAGAGTTCCTATGGAATTTAAATGAGACAAACTTTATAAAGTCAGGGCACTTAGTAGGGGCTTGGTAAATGTCAGCTTATGAATATTATTCCTTCTCTACTTCTCACTTTTCTCTGTACTAAACAAGTGTGAATTTTGTCATTACAAACAAAACTGCTATTACAAAAAAAAAAAAAAAGGAAAGAAAAGAAAATATGGATACAGTATGGATACCTAGCAAAGGCATGTCATGGCAAGAAGTCCAGAGTGAGGTGAGGTGGGGTGGACTAAGGGAACAGTAGGAGATCACAGCATCACACAGCAGCATGTCAAAGCCATAATCAGTCATTCATGAAATCACTAGCCTTGAGGAATCAGACAGGCCTGATAACAGCAAGCCTAAGTCAGAATAAAATGACAGTTTACACATTCTCTGCTTTTTGCTTTAGTTATCCTGAGCCTCTAAGAGAAGCTCTGAACTAGTGTTTTCTTAGCCTCTGGGTGTGGGAAGCAGGGCAAAGTAAAGATGGCTGGCAGAGGTGGAAGAGCATTGGTGCATGTGCCTGCAGCCAATGCACTTTTGTTAGTGGACTAGAATGCTGCTGCCTGATGCTCTGTGGGAATCAACCCTCTGCATGCTGTGTCCACAGCTGGTTTCTCTTGGGCACTGTTTCCAGATGTTTGATTTCCTGCTGCTCTCACTTGCTTAAGACACATGCATTGTTTATTTCAGTGAATCATTGTTGCTAGAGAGCTTCTAGGGTACCAGCAAGCCCAAGCAAGGCTGACTAGATTTGAGCAGAGTCTAAGCTCATTGCTTTCTTAATAATGATCGTAGTACCAGCTACCTATGTGCTCAACACCTCAAATACATTATCTCATTTAATTCCCACAAAAGCCCAGTGATGGAGTTGATATTATTATTACTCTGTTTTACAGGCAAGGAAACTGAAACTCAAAAAGGTTAGGTGTTTTGCCTGAAGTCACATAGCTAGTAAGTGGGAGGTTCAGAATTCAAACCCAAGCAGTCTGGCTCTGGAGCCCTCCTGCTCTTAATCCTCTTGCTGTGCTGTCATGTGGAAGGCCTTCTGCTGGAAACTAAAGTGCTGGGAGCCGCAGATCAAGTCCTTGATGGCTGCTCTGAGCTCTTACTCAAAACACATTTGGCACTCCCTGGGACCATTTTGAAGGTTCATTTATTGGCCCAGCAGAGGTGCCCATAGGCTGGACCTCAGAGATAAGACTGCCCTAGTTCTGCCTCTCAGGCTTAGCTGCAGGCTGGGGACCTGGGGCCTCATACCTCACCTCTTTCCTTGCAGGGAAATTCACCTGCATCGAGGTAAAGTTTCATCTGGAACGGCAAATGGGCTACTATCTGATTCAGATGTACATCCCCAGCCTACTCATCGTCATCCTGTCCTGGGTTTCCTTCTGGATCAACATGGATGCTGCCCCTGCACGTGTGGGCCTAGGCATCACCACCGTGCTCACTATGACCACTCAGAGCTCTGGCTCCCGGGCCTCTTTGCCAAAGGTGAAGAGACATGCAGTGGAACTTGCTTGCCATAGAGCTCCCCATTTCCCATTTATCCCAAGTCTCTCCTGCTCATTATTTTCCTTGGATTTAAGGTAGAGAAGAGCCATTGAGCAAGAGCAAGTGGCCTGCATTCTCTTTCTCCACAATATACAGCTAACAGTGTGGAAGCTGGGTTTGCAGATGCTGTCTGGCTAAGGAACAGGTATAGACAGTGCCTAATTTACTTTGACTTTCACCAGCGTGTCCAAGATCAAAAGACCCTTAGCAAGTAGAAAGTTTCACTCCCCCTTAGTAAGATGAGGAGTATACAGCCCAAGACAGAATGACCTTCTCAAGGTCATGGCCCACAAGAAACAAAGAAATACAAGTATTTTAAACCAACACCTGTCTCTTACTATGTCAGAAACCAGACACTATTACAAAGAGCTCTAGAGACAATGTTTGTTCTTTTGGGGTGAGAAAAAGTTGAAGTAGCAAATAGCGATTAAAGTCAGTGGATTCTGCTCATCTGGGGCCTGGTGATGTTTTGATTATGCTGAGAGATGTGTGCTAATGGGACTCAGCTAGGTTCTCCCTGCCTCAGGTCTTCATCTATGGAATTTAGAGGTCACCTCAAAGTCCTTATAGTTAGCAAGTCTCTGAAAAAAGTCAGGGAGCAAGCCCGCCTATTCTGTAAATATTTATTGAGCATATACTATGGACCAGGCACTGTACTAGGCCACAGAGAAATCATGGGAAGCAAAAGCAACATAGTTCCTTGTGGATCTTACAGCGTACTTATTCCCTCTTGCTCTGATTTGATGGGAACCAGGCCCTGAGATCTCTCATCTCCTAGTGCTCATTCCTAAGAAGTTTACTGGGGACTTAAATGGGGTAATCTAGTCATCCATAGTAAATTTACCAATTTGCTATATAAGGCTGAGTAGTGGTTAAGAGGAGATCAGAGTCAAGCATATTGGGGCTTAAGTCCCAGCCTTATCATTTACTAATTGTGACCTTAGGGAAACTTCTAAACCATTCAATCTCCTCTCCTATAATGTGGGAATAAGAATATTACCTCTTCCAGAGTGTTATTGCAAGAAATAAATAAGACAATGTATTAACACAGAAGAGTGTTTGGCGAATAATAATCACTCAGTAAATGCTACCTATTATTGTAATTATTAGGTGTCAAGGTGGAAATAACTGAGTGGTAGACCTAGGGCTAAAGCAGCTGGTGGTGATCCCAGTTATTTTTGAGATGCCAGGAAACCTTTGAGGTGGTCCAGCATCTTTAGGGATAATTGGTGGCAAAGTTAAGATTAGAGTCAAGTGTCCCAGGGGAAATTGTCACAGATCTTTTCCTATGACTGTGTTTTCTAAATGGTCAAGGGTATTGAGGAGGGGCTCTGATGGCCATGTTGTGGTAGTGGCCTTGTATGAAGACCAAAGGCAGAAAAGTGGTTCAGACCTAAGAACCCTGCCCTAGTTTACTGACACTGCCATGCAAGGAGATTCTTCTCCAGCTCAGGAAGTTGCTGCAATTTATGCCTTATTCTTGCCAAGAGCACTTCTTTCTCCAGTTCCCTGCTGAAATCAAGCACAATCCATCTGCTCCCAGGAATCACTTAATTTCCTCATTTGGAAAAACTGGACTTTGTTGGAGAGTTTTGTTTTATTTTGTTTTTGCAGTATTTTGGCGCCCTCTCATCAGATTTTCTTTTTAATGCTCACTTGAGGATACTTTTTCCATCGTTTGTCAGGGAGAGTGGAAGGGAGAGAAAGGGAGAGAAACATCTATGTGAGAGAGACACATTGATTGGCTGCCTCCTGCACATGCCCTGACCAGGCTGGGGATCGCCTGCAACAGAGGTACATGCCCTTGACCGGAATCAAACCCAAGACCTTTCAGTCCGAGGGCTGACACTCTAACCACTGAACCAAACTGACTAGGGCCTCATCAGATTTTGACGACCTTTTTGTGGCCCTATTTTGTAATAAGCAAAATATGAAAGCATGTACCCTGGACAAAATAGTTTCACTGACCAGCCCCACAGAATAAGGGACTGAATAAGTCAGAGAGCTTCTGTTCACTCTTGAGTTTGTGCAACATTAGATTTGATGGGAGCCCCAAGGAAAGAGGTGGGGCCAGGTCAACGGCTTCTGTAAACTACAACAATCCCACCCCCAGTACAACTCTAGTGTGAAGGATGAGCGAAGCAAAGGCTCACTTTGTGAAGGGATGCAGCTGCGATAGCCATTCCCCATGTTCTCAGGAAACCACTTCTTCTTTGCCATTATGGGGCTCCCAAAGGCACTGACCTCTGTTTCTTTGCCATTTTTGATCTACACAACTGCAGGTGGCTCAGTGCAGAATGGAAAGGCTAAATGGAAGTTTCTACCAGAGAATGACAGGTTAGACCTAAAGTAGCATCAGTTGGAGAAGTGACCCAATTCTCTCGAGATCCTGCAATCTAAATGACCCATAGTTCTTGGGGTAGGTAGTAGTGAGGAGGGCAAAAAGAGGAAACAGAAGCCAGTACAGAAAAATACATTGCTAAACCATCCACCCATCCATTCATTCATTCATCTATCTATCCATCCATTCATCCATCCATCCATCCATCCATCCATCCATCCATTCCTTCAAAAAATATTTAGTATGTGCTAGGCACTTAGCTAGGCACTGGGAATTGAACAGTGGACATGACAGAAGAGTCCCTGCTGTCCAAGAGCTCAGTCTAGTGAAGAAAATGGTCAGTTATATGTGACGGATGCTAAGAAATTGTAGGTAACCTGGGCACATATAACAGAGGCAACCAACCCAGACTGGAATGATTAGGAAAGGCTTCCCAAAGAATGTGGTATCCAAAGTGAACAATAAAGTAAAAGTTATTGAAGTAAAAGAGAGAGATGGAAAGAGATTGTCCCCTTGGGAGACTACTGAAATAGTTCACCAAGGCAGGGTCATGGATTGCAAAGGGCAAGGTGAAGCTAAAGAAGTAGGCAGGGGTAACTAAGATGCCATGCTAAGGGAAGTATAGACTGTATTATAAAGGTCCTGGAGAACCGATGAAGGGTTGGTAGCAGGAGAGTGATATAATCACATTTACATTTTTAAAACAAAACTCTAGGTACTGTTTTGAGAACAGATTGGAGATGGCAAGTATAGATGCAGGGAGACCATTTAGGAAATTGTTGCAGTACTTTGGATGAACTAGGATAGTGAGTGGATAGATTCCAAAGACATTTAAGATGTATTATTGATACACTCATCCTTAACAAGACTCTTCTTGCTGCTTAAGGTATCTTTTTCTTTTGATGGCCTAAAGCCCTTTACGGACCTCCTTTGTCATTGCCTCATTGTTAATCTTTGCAGCAGTTACTAGACAACCCTGGGGGCACAGTGAGACTGAGAGATGGTAAGTGAAATAAGATCCCCTTTTAGTAGTAGGTGGCAAAATGGAAACACCAAAGGATACTTAATCAGGGTTGCCTAGCAACCCACCACCACCACCCACCACAATGGAATGCCCCTAAAAGAGATAGAGCAGGGTTTCTCAACCTTAGCACCATTGCCATTTGGCCCAGGTAATTCCTCGTTGTGTATGTGAAGGGGGTGTGGAGTGGAGGGACTTGTGCATTGTAATATGTTTAGCAGTGTCCTTGGCTTCTAACTACTAGATGCCAGTAGCCACCACCACCCTCAAAACTATGCAACCAAAAATGTCTCCAAATATTGCCAAATGCCCTTGGGGGATGGGTTACGCCAAATTAAGAACCATAGAGGGAGAAGGTTTATCCAGTGAGACCTGCTCCTTACCTGGAATTTTCAGTACCTGCACTGTCCAATATAGCAGAAGCTGGTGAAAGAAGTTGTCATCAATTCTGCTCCTGCTGGGGAGCCCTATAGGGTGAGCTCAGCTGCTCAAAACTATGTAGGGAGTCAGTCTAGTCGAGGAGGTAAACCTTCATAAGCCTGACTTCATACACCCCAGTTCTTAACCCTCTCTTGGTCCCACCCAGCCACAACCCTGTTCCAGGAGAAGTGAGTGTTCGATATTCACAAGGGAAACAAAAGAGAAAAGTACTTAAGGGCTGCCAAAGCAGGTAGAGAGAGGATAGCGCTAGGGACTGGATAGGTAATGCCAAGGGTGCCTTGAAATTAGAGAAGTTTCCATAGCCAGGGGTGGGTAGCACTCTCTTGGGATCCCTTCCCTGTTCTGCTCTCCAGTGTGGAATATGAGGCCCCAGCTCACCACTGAGCTCAATTCCTTAGCAGAGCCTCTTCCAAAGAGCAGCAGGAAAAAACACAGGATCAAGGGAAGAATAAGGGTGGAGGAGGGAAAGAAAGGAACTCCTAGTCTGATATTGAGACTGTAGCCTAGGTAAAAGGTTAGTGCCACTGAATCAAAGGCTCAGAACCCCTAACTCCAAGATTACACCTCCTCACTGGGTAGTCTTGGCTAATACTTTTTCTTTCTAGGCCTCAATTGTCCTCACATGTCTCATAGGGGAATAACGAACCCTGCCCAATTACCACCATGGCTGTGAGAACCCTAGTAGATAAGAGGGGCAACAAATGCATGTTGGTTGCTATTTATTGAAAGAAAATAATCAAAAAAATATAAGAATAAAAAGAATAATAAGCAGCAGAAGCAGAAGAACAAAAAGAGAAAGAAGAAAGAGAGAGAGAGAGAGAGAGAAAGAGAGAGAGAGAGAGAGAGAAAGAAAGAAAAGAAAGAAGAAAGAAAGAAAGAAAGAAAGAAAGAAAGAAAGAAAGAAAGAAAGAAAGAAAGAAAGAAAGAAAGAAAGAAAGAAAGAAAGAGAAAAAAGTGTAGGGAGGAAAGGCAGATGGAAATGGAGGGTGGGCAGTGCAGAGAGGTGAAGGATGATCTCTTTGACAGAGGACTTCAGACAATAGGATGTATTGTGGAACGCTTCTTTATTTTTTTAAATATACCTTTATTGATTTCAGAGAGAGGAAGAAAGAGGGAGAGAGAGAGAGAGAGAGAAACATCAATGATGAGTCATTGATTGGCTGTCTCTTGCACGCCCCCAACTGGGGATCGAGCCCTCAACCTAGCTTGTGCCCTGACTGGGAATCGAACAGTGATCTCCTGGATCCTAGGCCAACGCTCAACCGCTGAGCCACGCCCAGCCAGGGTGGAAAGCTCCTTTAAAAACCATAAGAGCCTGGCCGGTGTGGTTCAGTGGTTGAGCACTGACCTATGATCCAGGAGATCGCAGTTCAATTCCTGGTCAGGCCACATGCCCAGGTTGCAGGCTCCATCCCTAGTAGGGGACGTGCAGGAGGAAGCTGATCAATGACTCTCTCATCACTGATGTTTCTATCTCTCTCTCTACCTCTCCCTTCCTCTCTCTGAAGTCAATAAAGATATACTAAAAAAGAAATTCAGCATAAAACTGAAGAACAGCAGGCAGTTGATATGGGCTGCCAACCCACTGGATAGGCCATGGAAGGACTCCAGAAAGGTTGACTACTCTGTTGGTGGCTGTTACAGGTGTCCTACGTGAAGGCAATTGACATCTGGATGGCTGTGTGCCTGCTCTTCGTGTTTGCTGCCCTGCTGGAGTATGCTGCTGTGAATTTTGTTTCCCGTCAGCATAAGGAATTCATAAGACTTCGAAGAAGGCAGAGGCGCCAGTACATGGTGTGTATAACTAGAAAAGGGCCCACTTCCTTTCTCCCCAGGCCTCCTTTCTCCCTACTACTTCTCCCACAAACCAGACCAAACCTAGGGCTGCAAGGACTAGACAGGCAATCAGGAACCCTGGATTCTAGTCCCAGGGAGGTCACAGATAAGTAGTTTAACCCCTTTGATTCCATTTCTTTATCTGCCTATTGGAACATTAATGACTATAGGGCAGTCTACAACAGTGATTAAGAGCATGGGTACAGAGCCTGGCACATAAGCACTAAAAAATGTTAGCCAGTATTAGAACCTTATGAAGTTAGTCAATATGAGATTGCTTTGAGAATTAGTAATTGTTGCTCCTGGCTCTTCCTCCACCCAGAAGAAAGGTACCCCAGGTTGTCATATACTGATTAAGAGTTCAAGAGTCAGGCATTGGTGTCTTTCTAGGGGAGCATTATGAAAAGGTCCCCATAGCTAAGCTGGAATTGAAAAACCGTCACTTGCCTCTCTCTGGGCTGTTGGATTTCTTCGCCTTGATCTTCATTGGGCACATTAGAGTTGTTGGGTGTGAGTTGTTCTCCCGCACTCTTGTTTGTTAACCCCATATCTTCTACAATAGATGATCACCTGGGGAAATTGGTAGGGATTTTGTCGTCATGACAACGGAGGCAGTTTACCCGCATTGCCCAGATAGTGTGTTAGGTACGTTGTCATGGCAACAGAGGTGCCTGGGCCACTCTCACAGAAACAAGTACCCAGTTATGAGCAAAGCTGAAAGCCTTTCCTGATCTACATAATTGTTGCTTAATCATCACACACAGAGTTCTGGTCTGTCTTGAGCTCTGACTCCTTGATTTCTGCCTAATCTGGAGGCTCTAAAACCAAAGGGGCAAGCACGTATATGATCTCTGGAGAGGGAGAACCAGAGGAGGAGAGAAAAATTATGATCTGCGCCCCCTGTTGGGGCCAATCTAGCACTAAAGTTCTCTCATCCTAACACCCCACCTCGCACCTCAACTGCTCCTGAGGTACCCCTACCATATGTCTGCACTAAAATTATCTCACAAACTACTGTCCCTTGCTAAGGTCCCTTTCTGCTGAAGGCAGGGCTTCTGTCTCATCTAGCGGTTTTTAGGAATTTATCAGTTCTTGCCGGGCTTTAATCCTTTAGTGGGACCCTGGGAATTTCGCCCTCTAGTGGAATATTCCACAACTGCATCTCCTTGAGTAAGACCCATTCTTCAACATACCTATAAGCCCTACCTATCCAATGCTGAGGGGTAGAAAAAATATACAGGCTTGGCAGAAGGGCAAGGGGGTGCACACTTCTCTAATCTAACTACCCCTACCCCCTCATTAGCTATGTCAAAACTGTCTGCAGCTACCAAAATCTTATCTTTATAGGAGTTTTTATCTTGATGCCTTCTCAATGCCTACCTTGGAAAAGAAGAGCAGGCTGCCAAACAGTTCCAGAGTCCTTTCGCCAGCTAAATTGCCTGTGTGGGTGTCCCAGCAACGGAAGACTGCTGCAGTTAATGTAGAGCTGCTCCAGGTTGACACTAGTCTCACCACCTCCCCTGCATCTCTCCTTTCCCCAACTGTTCATGACCTCTCCCCTCCTGGTTATATATAGGTTGATCCTGATATCATAATGGAATCTGTCATAACCAATGCTCAATTATGACAGTTATAACAGCAGCCTGGGCCCTGATTAGGCTCCTAGATCCTGCCCAAAAGTGGGTTGGGCTTAATATTAATGTAAATAAAACCTGAAAATCCAAACCTGTGCCATTAGTCCATGTCCCGTATCGAGTTCCCTAAGGCCATTGCTATCCCAGAGGAATGGTAGCAGGGATCCTAGAAGTCACTGAGCAGGCTGGAAATATTGATGCAGAGTTAATCCATTTCTAGAATCTCTCTCTTGGCCCTGCTGGAGAAGCAGCAATCTTTATTCTGAGGGGAGCCCTTTAAGGGAGAGAAGATAATCCATATGCTTTTCAGGGAACCCTTAGCCAAGAGCAAGTTAGGAGTGGTAGGAGCCAGCCAGCTCCAGGCTTATTACTGTTCTTCTCTAATCTCTCCTCAACCACCCATCTCCACTGCATAGTGATCTTCTTCCATGTCACTGTCTAAGATAGTTTACCTTTTCCCCATACATTTCTGATTTGTCTTTCCAGCTAGTCTAAGCATCACAGGGAAGGGTCTGTCTCTTGTTTTTACTTTATTTTATTTTTAATATATATTTATTGATTTCAGAGAGAGGAAGGGAGAGGGAGAGAAAGAGAAGCATCAATGATGAGAGAGTCGTCATTGATCGGCTGCCTCCTGCACGCCCCCAACTGGGGATCGAGCCTGCAACCTGGGCATATGCCCTGACTTGGAATTGAACCGTGATCTCCTGGATCCCAGGTCGATGCTCTACCGCTGAGCCACACTCGGCCAGGCTGTCTCTTGTTTTTATAACCTCAATGAGCCCTAGCACCAGGCTCTGGGCACAGCACCATATAACCCAGTTCACCAACCTTTGCAGGCTGACTGGCAAGGGCTCTTTCAAGCTAGAAATGAAGCCTTGACATTATCAACAGAATACCTTGAGAAATGGAAGAAATTTCAAACTACTGCCAAATCTGCTTGGCACCAGAATGCTGCTTCTCTCTCTCCCTTCCCCAGCACCTTCCCCCATTCTCCAATCTCTTCTCTTCACTTCAATACCTATCAGTCAATACCTATCACTCTTCCCCATATCCACACCTAACCTCCCACACTGTGCATTCCCTCCCCAGCTTGGTTTTGGAATATCTTCCCTCTCTAGTTCCCCCACCCTCCTCCCCTATATATAGCTACCACAAAAATGTTCTATTTCAATAGTCATGGAAGTCATAATGTAGTGTTTAAGTCTCCATTGTCCCAACACGCAGACACACACACACACACAAACACACACCCCTCTGAATTGGACCTAAATAGATAACACCCAAATCCAGGACCCCTACCCTTGGATTTCAGGCCACTTATCCTTGCTCTCCCAACTACAAATGGTACGGTATGTTAAAAAAAAAAAAAAAAGTTTAATCCAAGAACAGTTTACTCTATTAGCCACATTTTTTTCTCTTGTGTAAAATAGCATTTTTCAGCCTGGGAAATATTTGGAAATATTTCCCTTTAGATTTAATGTGATTGGAGAAAAGGGAAAATAATTAGATCTGTAAATTTTTATATATATATTTTTTTATTTCAGAGAGAGGAAGGGAAAGGGAGGGAGAGAAAGAAACATCAATGATAAGAGTCATTTAATTAGATCTATAGAAACAGAACAACCCTTGGATTCAACTCTCTTTCAGAGCTTTTCACAAATATATTTTGTGCTTGTATCTTCTAGCTGGGGGGCTGAGGAGGGAATCAAGATGAGCAGTGGGGAATAGGGAATCTGAGTGACCCTAACTGGAAAGCAAAATAAAGTAATTTTTATTTACCCCCTTATTTTTTAATTACTTGGGGCTTTTTTTTTTTTTTGCCTCTGGTTCTTCACCTCTAAAATGGGTCCAGCACAACCTCTCATGTAGGAATAATGTGGAAATTAATTTGAGAATACAGGTGAGGTGAGCCAGGGACTTTGGTGACCGCAGTTATGTAAATAACTTTGAACAGAGAGCTAAGGCTGCCCCACTACAACAACTCAGGGTCAAAGCACAACCATAGTTCTGAATTGCCTCTGGCCTACATACATACAACTATCTCCACAAAACCTGGCAAAATCAAGGATTGGGTAACAAAGCTCTCCAGTGGGCAGACTTAGGAAAGATTCTTCCCTCTGCCAAAGGTACCACTCTTTCTAGCCTGAAGAGCATCAGGACATTGTGCAGAGGTGAGGCAAGGAGTAATTATTTTTTCTGCCAAGGACTTTGTAACTGAGTAAGATTCTTCAGTTTAAGACCTTGAGAAGATGCTGGCTTCATGTGAACAAAGCCATTGCCTGTCCTATATTCTGAAGCATGTGGCTCATCAGATCATTCATTTATTCAACTGATATCCACTGGGTGCCTACTAGATGACAAATACTGTGCTAAGCCCTGGGGACACAGCAGTGAACAAGAATTATGCTCTTTCCCAAGTTCGTACCATGAGCCCATAAGAAGCAGGGAAAGAGGCGGGATATGTGGCCGAATCTCTGCCCTGAGCTTGCCTTCGCCTGATTCCTGGTGATAGGCTAGGCCTTCTAGTGATGTAATAATAAAGGGTCACTGGGACCCACCAGACCAACATCTCATTTATAAAGCTATTTTACAATGTATTACCACAGCTGCAGAGGTCCCATTATGATGACCTTACAATGTCCTTCTAACTGCACAGCATGTGTAAAAATCTACTTTTTTTCACATTTTATGTATATTTATGTCACATCCATTCAATATGCATATATCTTATTCAGTTTTAGCACTGAAAGTCCCCAGCCTCAGGAAGCCCTCAGTCCTGAGCAAACTAAGAAGGTAGTTGGCATCATCCCACAAGGGGATATTTCACTTCAGGTGACTTCTTAGCTGAAACTTTTACTCTTGTAAACATCAGTACTCTTAAAAATTTTAACCACCTTTGAATGAAGTATTTCTAAGTTCTGGTATATATTTACCTGTCTTCTGTCTAATTTTCAAGCTGTGGACTATCATTTCTGATGGCAGTATGTCCTTTAGAAGTAGGCAAAATTAGGTGTGTTTGACTTGTATATAAATGAAGAGTAAATAAGATCTGTGTGGGAGGCCTGAAGGGCTCTTATATGAGTAAAGCTCTCTCTATTGATCACTCAGGAGCTTTGGTTCTCTCTATCTATCTATCTATCTATCTATCTATCTATCTATCTATCTCTATCTATCTATCTATCTATCTATCTATCATCTATCATCTATCTATCATCTATCATCTATCATCTATCTATCTAATCTTTCTCTCTATCTCTACCTCTATCTCTATATTTCTGTCCTTACTTCCTGGTTCTCAACTGTGTTATAGCTACTTAAAGTTGTCAGCTGATGATTAGATAAATGAACTTTGCAGTCTGCTACATTACTTAGTGCTTATATAAAATTTACCTCCTCAATGTTAGTATGTTCATCATAATGCAGATGAAAGGAATGTGTATTGGGTAACAAATGTTACCCTAGCTGTACTGATCCTTATGTCAAAATCGGCTGATTTGCAAAGAAACACATGTATCTGCAAAAGAGTAATCAGCTTTACGTAATTTGGATAACCCATTATGTTATTTTAAATTTTTGGAATTTTCAGCTTTGAGTTGAGATAATTTTTTAAAGATACTATGTACATGGAGAATTAATTCTTAAGCTCTTAAAAGTCATTGAATTCATGTTCACCAGTCTAAAAATATCAGCTGTGCTTTCTAAAGCTTTCACTGTTCTGTTTATTCTGTTTATTAACAGTCAGAGATAACTTGACATTGAAATGTTCCTCCCACAGTGGGTTGGCATTTCACTGGGTTTTAGATGGCTCTAAATGATGTTATGCATTTTTTAAAAGCAGCTTGGGGCTTATGTGCAAGTGGAAATTGAATATTAACATACCATACGATACTTAGCATACATGTATCTCACGA